CTATTATTAGATAGGGAGATATATATATATATATATATATATATATATATATATATATATTCCCTAAACAGTTTAACATTTTTTTTTGAAATTTAATATATTTTTTATTGATTAAGATATTACATATGTGTCCTAATACCCACGTTACCCCCTACCCCGCCCCCTGCTCATGCCCTCACCCCCCCCCCCCCATTGTCCGTGTCCATTGGTTAGACCTATATGCTTGCATGGAAGTCCTTTGGTTGATCTTTCCCCCTTACCCCCACCCTCCCTACCTTCCCTCAAGGCCCGACAGTCCAATCAATGCCTCTCCGTCTCTGGATCAGTCCTTGTTCATCAGTTTATGATGTTCATTATATTCCACAAATGAGTGAGATCATGTGGTATTTATCCTTCTCTGACTGGCTTATTTCACTTAGCATAATGCTCTCTAGTTCCATCCATGCTGTGGCAAATGATAAGAGTTCCTTTTTCTTCTTCCTCTTCTTAAAGAATACCTTTCAGCATTTCATATAATGCTGGTTTGGTGGTGATGAACTCCTTTAGCTTTTTCTTATCTGTGAAGCTCTTTATCTGACCTTCAATTCTGAATGATAGCTTTGCTGGATAAAGTAATCTTGGTTGTAGGTTCTTGCTATTCATCACTTTGAATATTTCTTGCCACTCCCTTCTGGCCTGCATGGTTTCTGTTGAGAAATCAGCTGACAGCCGTATGGGTACTCCCTTGTAGGTAACTGACTTTTTTTCTCTTGCTGCTTTTAAGATTCTCTCTTTGTCTTTTGCTCTTGGCATTTTAATTATGATGTGTCTTGGTGTGGTCCTCTTTGGATTCCTTTTGTTTGGAGTTCTCTGCGCTTCCTGGACTTGGAAGTCTATTTCTTTCACCAGGTAGGGGAAGTTTTCTGTCATTATTTCTTCAAATAGGTTTTCAATATCTTGCCCTCTCTCTTCTTCTGGTACCCCTATAATTCTGATGTTGGTACGCTTGAAGCTGTCCCAGAGGCTCCTTACACTATCTTTGTATTTTTGGATTCTTTTTTCATTTTGCTTTTCCGGTTGGGTGTTTTTTGCTTCTTCATATTTCAAATCTTTGACTTGATTCTTGCGATCCTCTGGTCTGCTGTTGGGAGTCTGTATAATATTCTTTATTTCAGTCAGTGTATACTTAATTTCTAGTTGGTCCTTTATCACAACATCGAGGGTCTCACTAGATTTCTTGAGGATCTCACTACATTTATTGGCGGTTTCCATAAAATTCTTGAAAAATCTTAGAAACGTGGTTTTGAACTCTATATCCAGTTGTTTGCTGTCCTCCATTTCTGTCATTTGTGACCTGTTTCTTTGTCTTCGCATTTTGTCTGCTTCCCTGTGTTGGTAGAGTGGTTTTGTGTGCTAGGTGTCCTACAGGGCCCAGTGGCTCAGCCTCCCCAGTTACCTGAGGTGGACACTCTTGGTGCACCCCCTTGTGGGCTTTGTGCACAGTCTTGTTGTAGTTATGCCTTGATTGTTTTAGGTGTCACTGGGAGGAATTGACCTCCAGGCCAATTGGCAGTGAGAATCAGCTGTGTCTGCAGAGGGGGAACTTCTGTGCAGAAGACACCCTTCTGGAGCAAGACTTGCTTCAGTGGGGCTTTGGTGCTCACTGAGTCTGCCCCCTGAGTGTGTTCCTTATGAATCTGAGGAGTTGTAATCTGGATGGTCCCACTCTGACCACTGGGTACACTGGCTCTTGGATCTAAGGAGGTGCTAATTAAGCCTCTTCCTGAGGTTACCCATCCAGAGCTACAAAGAGATATGCAGATTCCCCTTCCTTTTTGGGGGGTTTGGGGGTGCCCAGATGAGGCCCAGCTGTGAAGCAATGCAAGCTGCTGTGAAGCCTTGGGCCTTCTCTTGGAAGTTCTGGGGTCTGTCTGGCCCAGCTGCAATTTGTTAGGTAATTTTCAGGTTGCAAAGGACCCGGGCATTCATATGCAAAAGCCTTTGCAGCAGCCTGGATGGGGCGGGGTCTCGGAATCAACAGGGCGGAGCAAGCAGCTATGGCTGATCCTCAGCCCTGCCCTAAAGGGCCTCGCGTCTCAGTGTCCCGGTAATTGCTGCAAGCACCTCTGAGAGAAAGCCGCCCTCAAGTTCCGAGTTCTGCCTGCTGCCAGACAGTCCAGTTTCTCCCCGTATGAGCCCTGGGACCCCAGAGATTTCCCAGAACCGGAGTTCAGAGCAGCCGGGAGCTTGTGACTCCCTCCCGATTCAAAAAGACAGCCGCGTCCTCAGGTGTCTGCCCCTTTCCCCGTGAGCTGGAGCCTCCGTACCTCTGCACTTTACTTTCGTAGCTCCTCTGAGTCTGTGTGCTCTTCTCTTTCCTTCTAGTTGTAGAATTTCCACTCAGCCAGCCTTCCTGTGGTTCTGGTTGATGACCGTTCTGTCTTTTAGTTGTATTTTTGAAGTTGTTGTCGGAGGCAGCAATTTCCGGTGTTTACCTATGCCGCCATCTTGGTTTCTCCCAGATTTAACATTTAAAAACATTTTTTATTTATTGATTTTAGAGAGAGGAAAGGAGAGAGAGAGAGAGAGAGAGAGAGAGATAAAGAGAGAGAGAGACAGACATTGACTTGCTGTTCCTCTTATTTGTGCATTCACTGGTTGCTTCTTGTATATGCTCTGTCTGGGGACCTAACCTGCAACCTTGGCATATTGGGAGAATGCTCCAACCAACTGAGCTACCCAGTCTAGTGTTCGTTTCAAAATTTTTCTATAAAGTAGCTTTTGGGAAGGCAGTCTGGTTGGGATAGAAGTCTTAAGAGTGTCTTGAAATTACTTTTACATAGCATGTATTATTTTTGAACATAGATTACAAATTTTTTTTGGAGAGACTTTACAGGTGTCGATGGAGATTATGGGATGACTAGGCAACTCCAGCCATCCCTTGGTGCTGCAAATGGCCAGGCTTAAGAGAGAAGTTTTAGTTAATGAGATTAAAAGGCATGTCTTTCTGAGCAAATAAAGGACTGAGTTGTTATTGAAAGGTCCTCAGATAGCCTAGGGAAGACTTTTCATGGAAAAAAAGAACTGGGAGAGCCTTCTATATGGCCCAGAGTCCTGTTACACTGAAATTCCTAGAAGCCAAAATCATCTCTCTCATATATGTCAGAAAAATTAATGATTAATATTTTCACTTGAAAATAAGTTTGCATCTTTGATTATATCTTTATGCTTTATAATGAAAGGATGCTATGATAAGCAATTTTACTCCCAAGTTGAACAAGGATGACGAACCTGATACATACATTGTGTCCATATTGTATATGCATCAGCTCTCTCCTTGTGTGGCTTCTGTAATCACTACTTGAAGGAGCAAATTATATTTGGATTTGTCCTGCTTTTTAGCATCAGGGGCTGTATGACTGAAACTCTGAATGTCACCAGCCAGAATTGTTTGCCTGGCCTCTGCAACTGTCAATGTTCCTTACTACTATGGTCCCTTAAACAGGTCAGTCTGTGTTTTGTAAGTATTGGAGGCACCCATTGCAGCTATAAGAAAAATTACATAGTAGGTATCATAACAGGAAAAGCAAACATTCTTTCTTTGTTTACTATGTGTGGAAATGCTGGTTCTGCACAAGAGCAGTGTGTAATGTGTGGAGCCAGGGTGAAGTTTCAAGCACACTTAATTCTGTGCATGATGTGTTTAGCTCAGGCAGTAACTGTTTAAGGAACCAGCTGTAGAGTTCACTCACAGGCTGTCAGTTTCCAAACAGTTGCAGCAACTGCCAAGTGGAAGAATCACAATGGCGGTATAATGGTGCTGGATCAAAAGACCAAAAGAAAGATGGTCTTTCAGAGATGCATCCGTCAGACCGTCATACCTAGAGGGAAGGTAGGGGAGGGTGGGGGGAAGGGGAAGAGATCAACCAAAGGATTTGTATGCATGCAAATAAGCCTAACCAATGGACACAGACACCAGGGGGGTGAGGGGGGTAATGGGGAGATAAGGACACATATGTAATACCTTAATCAATAAAGAAGAAAATAAGGTGGGGGGGGGGGGGGAGAAGAACATACAAAAAAAAAGGAAGACAGTCTTTAAACCTTGATGGGAATAGGAAATGGGCTGAGAATGGTTGTGTGAAGACTTCACTCTCCAGGGACATCCTACATGCACTAAAACTAGATTAAGAGGATCTCTGTTACCAGGGTGTCCCCAGAAAAGTTAACCAGAACCAAATCCTCCCTGGAGGACTCATAGATCTTTACCATCTTGATGAAACTCTCTTGGCCCTTCAGAGTTTAAACCTTTTACCTGATTTTGACATCCTGAAAATGAGGAATATGTCACAGCTCTATCTAGGTTGGCTACTGCCACCGTTCCCTGGCCGATGGATATCCCCAGTTTGCTAGTGTAAATGTGTGGTCCACCTGGGTAGGGAAGGTCACCAGAGAACACAAAAAGGAAGAAAAGGAGTATATGAAAGGTTTTCCCTCTGAAGTTTGAAAAAAAAAAAAAGGCATTTTACAGCCTGGCTCTTTGTTCCCTCCAATTAATGCTGTTTCTTTTGAATAACAAACGGGATATTATTTCACTCACTTTCTTTTAGATGGCAAATGAAAGCCAATTAATATTTGTGATTTAAAATAGCCAAGGACATGGGCAAAATTAGGTTTAATAGTTATTACTGCTATGAGCATTTTCCCTTGCTGATCTTTTTTCTTAATTTTGATAGAAAGGAAAGGACTTTGGATATTTCCCCAGAGATGCAGTCCAGATTGAAGAGGTGTTTATACCTGAGGAAATTCAAATACCAACCAAAGTGAGTAAATTTATTATGGTTATTAATTGAATTTAAAATTTCTTGGCTAAAATAGTTTTCTGAAGTATAAGTGCTCCTTGGTTATATATTTTATATAGTAAATACATAAAATAGTTGGTCTGCGAATTCACTTTAGGAATAGTTTGATTGTGTGAATAAAATTAGGTAAGACAAAGTTATGACAAGCAAATCTTTGCTTTCTGAAAAATTAACAGACAAAGTTGCAGAATGTAGCGGTTAAGAGCTTGGATTCTGGAGGTGGACGGAGTTCAAAGCCTGACTCAGTCACTTAGTAACTTTGCGATCTTGTGAGCCTTAATTTTCTCATCTGTAAAATGAGGATGATTGTAATATAGTGCTACCTCATAAATTCATTGAGGAAATGTAAGCATATATAACCTACACTGAACAGTACTTTAGTAAGCGCTATGGAAGTGTTAGCTATTATTACTAATGTTATTATCCTACATAGACAATTTTATTTTTTATCACACTCTTGTTGAGAAAAATAATATAACCCTAGCCTGTTTGGCTCAGTGGATAGAGCGATAGACTGAAAGGTCCTGAGTTCGATTCCGGTCAAGGGCACATGTCCAGGTTGTGGGCTCAATCCCTAGTAGGGGGCGTGCAGGAGGCAGCCGATCAATGATTCTCCCTCATCATTAATGTTTTTTTTTGCTCTCCTCTCTCTTTCTCTCTGAAATCAATAAAAATATATTTAAAAAAATAAACATAATATAATTTGAGCCGCTTTAAAATGCAGCCATAGCTGCAAACCCAGAGGAACTGCCTTTCATGGGGTATGCCTCAAAACTTTGGAATATTAAAACAGGGTAAAATAACCTTTGGCCTGGGCCTAAAGCAACATTGTGTCCCAAAGATAACAAGGATAAGAAGAGAGCAGATATTATGACTACAGGACTAAAATTAAAAGCATTGTTTAGAATTAGCATCACTACCTTAGCCTATCTGCACCAACAGAAATGCCTTTCTACTACTGATGTAATTGCCCCTTTCTCATAAATACGCCTTGCCTTTGTTTTTTAATCAGAACACCATTTGGGTTTCTGCCCGAATAAGTGATTCCTGAATAGCTATTCTTTTTTTTTTAAAATCTCAAATAAATGCTCATTGCCTATTACTTTGAAAGGCTTTTTATTTTTATTTTATTTTATTTATTTTTAAAAAATATATTTTTATTGATTTTTTACAGAGAGGAAGGGAGAGAGATAGAGAGTTAGAAACATCGATGAGAGAGAACCATTGATCCAGCTGCCTCCCGGCACGTCTCAACTGGGGATGTGCCCCCAACCAGGGTACCATACCCTTGACTGGAATCAAACCTGGGACCTTTCAGTCCGCAAACTGACGCTCTATCCACTGAGCCAAACCGGTTTCGGCTATTTTATTTTTTTAAAATATATTTTTATTGGCTTCAGAGTGGAAGAAAGAGGGAGAGAGAGATAGAAACCTCAGTGATGAGAGAGAATCATCGATTGGCTGCCTCCTGCACACCCCCTACTGGGGACTGAGCCCACAACCCAGGCATGTGCCCTTGACCAGAATCGAACCTGGGACCCTTCAGTCCACAGCCCAACACTCTATCCACTGAGCCAAACCAGCTAAAGCAGCCTTTTATTTTTAGATTAACACTCTCTATAAGTATCATATCTGTACAACCTCTTTTTTTTGTTAGAGTTTTAAATAAGCTTGATAATGTTGGGCTTGATAATGAGAAAAGGAATCAGAAGATAACTTTTCTTTTTTAAATTTTACCCGATTTGGGGGTGGGGGGAGGGAGGGAGGGAGGGAGGAGATAACTTTTCAATATGTGAATTTTATTAGCCCATTTTAATTCAGATTCTAGGTTAAGCCAATTTATGTTTCATGAGGTCAGTGTGAAGTGAGTCTGCCTAATTAAGCAGACTATCTGTTAGCTGGCCTCTGCCCAACACAAATTCTGGGGTTAACTGTCCATTTATTGTATAATTGCTGGTCCCGTTAGTTCTATCTCCAAAATTTTTCTGGACTATATTGTCTTCTCATCATTCTCACTCTCCCCTTTAGCCCTAATCCAAGGCTTCTCTTAATTAGAATACAATAGCCTTCTAACTGACCTCCTTTCTTCTACTTTTGCCTTCTCCCAACCTGTTCTTTAAACAGCAAAGGATATTACAAAAAAAAAAATTTAAATCAGATCATGTCATACCTTTGGGTTAAAGCCCTTTTGTGGCTTTTCATTGAACCTGGAATCAAGCCCTGACTCCTTACCCTGGTTCTACATGAACTCGCTTGCCCCCCTTGCTGCCCTTGTCTTACGCCTCACGCCTCACTCTCCCCTCACTCACTATGCTCCTGGCTACTTCAGTCTGTTGGCTGTTCTTACCACATGCCAAACTTTGCCCCAGCCCAGAGACCCAAACAGGCCATTCCCTCTAGTTAAAATGCTTTACCCAAGTTCTTCACTTGGCTAGTTCCTTCTTATCTCTTAGGTCACAGCTTAAACATCAGTACATCTGAGAGGCCATCTATGATGATTCTTATGCTTCTTAATCACAACTTTCCTTTATTTCCTCCATAGCATTTATCACAACTTATAATTACCTTTTTCCTATTGTTTACTGTAGAATTTCAGCAACTAGCACAGTGCAGAGCATATAGTAAACATATAGAAGCCTCAAATTCTTAGGTCAAGTTCCCTGGGAAATAGACTCTGAGGTGGATCTTTGCATCCAAGAAGTTTACTGTGGAGCCTTCCTGGGAATAATAGCACTTGTGAGAGAATAAAAGAAAAGAGAAGAGGGGGCAGACAGAGAAGCTGAACGGTGATGCAGTTGCAACAAAGGTCTCAGTAGATTTGATAAAGAACTATGAAGCTGGGATGTCCTTTCAGAGTTGTCCTTAATAGAAGCAAGAGGTTTGGCCTTTATACCCTTGCATTACTGGCTCACCTGGGTAGTGTAACCTTGATGTAGGTTAGGCTAGTGCAGCCGTGGGCAAACTACGGCCTGCGGGATGGATCCGGCCCGTTTGAAATGAATAAAACTAAAAAAAAAAGACCGTACCCTTTTATGTAATGATGTTTACTTTGAATTTATATTAGTTCACACAAACACTCCATCCATGCTTTTGTTCCAGCCCTCCGGTCCAGTTTAAGAACCCATTGTGGCCCTAGAGTCAAAAAGTTTGCCCACCCCTGGGCTAGTGTATACCAGAGATAGTTACTGTTCTAAGTACTTAATTCATTTAATCCTCAAAACACCCCTATACAGTAAGTACTGTCACTGGTCTTATTTTACAGACTAGAGGCCCGGTGCACAAAAATTTGTGCACCTGGGGGGTCCCTCAGCTTGGCCTGTGCCCTCTTGCAGTCTGGGACCCCTCAGGGGATGTACACCTGCTGGCTTAGGCCCGCTCCCCGAGGGATTGGGCCCAAGCTGGCAGTCAGACATCCCTCTGGCAGCCCTGGAGCCTTCGGGGGATGTCCACTTGCCAGCAGGGAGCAGGCCTAAGCTGCAGTTGGACATCCTTAGCGCTACTGAGGAGGCGGGAGAGGCTCCCACCACCGCCGCTGTACTGGCAGCCATCAGCCTGGCTTATGGCTGAGCAGAGCTCCCCCTGTGGGAGTGCACTGACCACCAGGGGCCAGATCCTGCATTGAGCATCTGCCCCCTGGTGGTCAGTGTGTGTCATAGTGACCAGTCATTCCCAGTTGTTCTGCTGTTAGGGTCAATTTGCATATTACCCTTTTATCATATAGTATAGAGACCTGGTGCATGGGTGGGGGCCGGCTGGTTTGCCCTGAAGGGTGTCCTGGATCAGGTGGGGGTCCCCGCTGGAGTGCCTGGCCAGCCTGGGTGAGGGACTGATGGCTGCTTTCAGGCTGGCCAAGCCCCCCAGCAGGGACCTTCATCCCATGAGGATGTGGCCATCCTGGGTGAGGGGCTGACGGCTGTTTGCAGGCTGGTCACGGCCCCCAGCCACCCAAGCTCCAAGTGGAGGCTGGCTGGAAGCAGGTATCTGGGATTTATTTAGCTTCTATAATTGAAACTTTGTTGCTTTGAGTGGAGGCTACAGCCAGCCAGGGCAGGCGGGAAGCTTGGCTTCCTCCATCGCTGGGGCAACCAAGCCTCCTGCTTGCTCCAGCTCCGTGGCTTCCAGCCGCCATCCTGGTTGGGTTAATTTGCATATAGTCACTCTGATTGGCTGGTGGGCGTGGCTTGGGGTGTAGTGAAGGTACGGTCAATTTGCATGTTTCTCTTTTATTAGAATAGACTAGAGGCCCGGTGCACAAAAATTTGTGCACTCGGGGGGTCCCTCAGCCCAGCCTGTGCGCTCTCGTAGTCTGGGACCCCTCAGGGGATATCCACACACGGGAGGCCTGGATGGCGGTGGAGCGGGCAGCGGCTCACCACGTCCCGCCTCACCGCCCTGGGTCACACACTGGAGGTCCGGATGGCAGCTCACGCTGTCCCTCCCTGCCTGCAGTATGCAAATTTAATGGCCATCTTTATTGGGTTAATTTGCATACTTTCTGATTGGCTGATGGGTGTAGCGATGGTATGGTCAATTAGCATCTTTGTCTTTTATTAATGTAGATGACAAACTGAGGCACAGAAAGGTCATATAATTCACTCAAGGTCACAGAGCTAGTAAATGGCAGAGTTAGGATTTGAACTCAGTGGATTTGGCTCTGGAGTTTGTTCTTAATCACTATATTGCAGTGCCAAAAACATATTGTAAAATTACAATTCTGAAGTTTATTTTAAAAAATTTGGGCATTATTCTCATGTAATATCCAAAGAGCAGTGCATATCAGTTAGATACCTTCAGATTAAAAAATAATAGCTTTACCATTTTTCTTCTTCTTTTTTTTTTAAATATATTTTATTGATTTTTTACAGAGAGGAAGGGAGAGATAGAGAGTGAGAAACATCGATCAGCTGCCTCCTGCACATCTCCCACTGGGGATGTGCCCGCAACCCAGGCACATACCCTTGACCGGAATCGAACCTGGGACCTTTCAGTCCGCAGGCCAACGCTCTACCCACTGAGCCAAACCGGTTTCGGCCCATTTTTCTTCTTGATGATTTTATTGTTCTGTGAGATGAGAAAGGGTGTCTGTACCTATATTGGCTATATGCAATATCTCAATAAAAAAAGTCTAAATGTCTTAGTGTAACTTTGTTCAGGCCTTCATGCTTTAAAGTCTCTGGTCTGTCTGAGCTGTGACCATGTGTGTGAAATTCCCTTCCCTCAAATTACCACAAAGCGCAGGTGTCCAGTCAGTGCACTCTTAGGAGGAACAAGATTTTATTGACACGTATGGCTTTTCATCAGAGTTTATTTGCAGAGTATACTCAAAGACTTGCCTCTGCTTCTCAAATTCTTCAACTATTTTATAACAAATAAATCCTTTTTAAAAAAAATTAAATCTTTATTGTTCAGATTATTACATTGGTTCCTCTTTTTTCCCACCATAACTCTCCTCCACCCAGTTCCCACCCCATCCTCCGCCCTCACTCCCCACCCAGTGTCCTCATCCATAGGTGCACGATTATTGTCCAATCTCTTCCCGCACCCCCCACACCCCTTTCGCCCGCAAGAATAGTCAGTCCATTCCCTTTCTATGTCCCTGATTCTATTATAATCACCAGTTCATACTGTTCATCAGATTATTTATTCACTTGATTTTTAGATTCACTTGCTGATAGATGTGTATGTGTTGTTCATAATTTGTATCTTTACCTTTTTCTTCTTCTTCCTCTTCTTAAAGGATACCTTTCAGCATTTCATATAATACTGGTTTGGTGGTGATGAACTCCTTTAGCTTTTTCTTATCTGTGAAGCTCTTTATCTGACCTTCACTTCTGAATGATAGCTTTGCTGGATAAAGTAATCTTGGTTGTAGGTTCTTGGCATTCATCACTTTGAATATTTCTTGCCACTCCCTTCTGGCCTGCAAAGTTTCTGTTGAGAAATCAGCTGACAGTCATATGGGTACTCCCTTGTAGGTAACTGACTTTCTTTCTCTTGCTGCTTTTAGGATACTCTCTTTGTCTTTTGCTCTTGGCATTTTAATTATGATGTGTCTTGGTGTGGTCCTCTTTGGATTTCTTTTGTTTGGGGTTCTATGCGCTTCCTGGACTTGGAAGTCTATTTCTTTCACCAGGGAGGGGAAGTTTTCTGTCATTATTTCTTCAATAGGTTTTCAATATCTTGCTCTCTCTTCCTCTGGCACCCTATAATTCCGATGTTGTACGCTTGAAGCTGTCCAAAGGCTCATAACAATCCTCCGAATTTTGAATTCTTTTTTCATTT